GAGTTAAACTCGGTAAAAGCTTAATAAATTAAAATAACTCATGTTCAATGAATATGTATACGTCAATTATCAAGTATAAGTGAAATTCTTAAAAAAAACTCTTCGAAACAAATAAATGCTAAATTTTCTCAGTTAATATAATAATTAATATTCGAATTACTCCAATCTATAGTATGTAACCTGATTCATTAATTTTTTAGAGATCTTTTTACATTACGAAGATAATTATTTATTATCAATTTATCAAAATGTCTACCTTAATAATTAATAATTATTAGGCGAAGTATGTTAAAAGATAATTGATAGATTACAAAATATATAACTAGCAAATTGTACAGAAAGCAGATACTATAATGTATGACAAATAAATATTATGAACAGAAAATCTGCCTAAACAATTATTTAATAGAATTTTAAAATGTGTAACGCATTCTTAAACAGATACTGTTAACCTAGTTTTAATTTAAAAAATGTATGTGCATATTTCGCCACTCCTATAGCAGTAGAGTTTAAATCGTCAAAAATAAACTACTGTTATATAGTAGTATTATTTTCAATGGTTTCATATTATGAAATAATATCTTTTACTATATCACTGCAACACTTGATAATATTTAGCATTTATTTCATTATTTATACTGAAGTATTTTTAGATAGTTTCAAGTAAATATTAAAGTGTGTAATTTTTCCTACAAAATATTTTGCTTTTTATTTTCTATTGTTTATAAAAAATTCTGAACCGAATCAAATAATTAATTGAAAATATAAAAAAAAAAACTAAAATATATTCATAAGTCATAATGCATAATATTTAAGTTTTTTTATTGTATTTTAGTGCAATATGGTTTAAAGATTTTTATCTACAAAAGATAAATAATTTAAAAGTAATTAATTTTGATGTTCGCATTACACTAATGCACGTATGAAAGACTAAATATAAATGCAGACCTTCCACCATAATTGTTATACATAATATATACATATAGGTAAGGTTGATCATCTTTTACAACACTATATGTTATCATGATAACGTCATATAGGTAATGAGAGATAATGAAATCGTTTGACAAACTTACGTAGAAAGTGGGCCACAACTAATAAAGGGAAGACGAATTTTATGTTTTTTAAGACAGATTTGACGGTCATTACGAGATACAACTACATCATTATAACGACTATCGCCGTTACTGCAGTCGATCAGCAGGAAACCAAAACATCTACTATGATTTCGCGGTCAAACGACCGAAAACGAATTTTTCGGTTTATTGTGACTAGAGCACCGATAACTAGAAATATTTTTATAGTACATAACTGCAAACTGACGGTGTATCATGTCCGCATATTTTTAAAAACGTGTAGATGCAGTTCTTTATCAATGAAATACGTCATATTTGTATCTGAAAATATAGCCAAAGAATGTCTGACAAGGGATAGGTCAATTATATAAATTGTGTTAGTAAAATTCCACGTGTACTAGTCACTTATTTCGTTTTGTTCACCTTCAGTAGTGTATTATGATTCGGGCAATTAAATTTAAAAGAAATAATAAATTATCGTATTTGACTAAAGGTTCTGAGTCGATTTCAGCAATTATTAAAATTCCACGCACACTGTTATTTTTTAAAACCTTTAGACGGTCGTCACAGTAGTGTTTCTATGTACCCGTGGCGAGGCACTATGGAGAAAATAAACAAAAAGCATTTTCTTCAGTTAATCTGTTATATAGTCTATTCTCGATTTACGATTTATAATAGTGATGCGTGAAATATTTGAGCATTTCTTCGACTCAGAAAGTGTTCGCAAATAATAATAATTAAAATAACGATGGGTTTTTGTAAAATATTCATCTCACTCAGCTTCCGCGAATAATAATGAAAATGCACGTTTAATTTACTGTAAAAAACTGTGTCGACTTGCCCACCTACACGACGTTTGCCGGAAATCGGTAATTCGATCATTTCGACCAGTCATCGTTTGTAATGCGAAACGGCTGGAAAAAAAAGGGAAAGTGCATGCGATTATACAGAACGACTATGGCGTCGCAAACGGGCGGTGGGTGGCTGTGGCAGCCATGATTTAAATGCAAAAATGTTTGTAGTTTTTCCAATGCACATAACGTAATATTACGTCGACCCGTATTATGCATTATAAATGTATAGGTATTGTAAAATAAATGTTATTTCGCAAAAAAAAAAAATAAAAAAATAAGACAATCGGAACAAAAGGAGTAAAAATATATATCACATATTGTACTAAGAAGCGTGTACACTGACTATACACGAGCACTTAAACAAACTCGTATGCAAAATGCAGATAGCATTCGTTTGTCGGATATCAGTTTTGTAAAAACAAAAAAATTAAAAAAAAGGTATTATTTGTACTTCTTTGGAAGCCGCACTCTACATGACTACATGAGTAATATTCATCCATTAGCAATAGTATTTTTACACGGTTAATGGATATTTTATGATGTCGAGATTTCGAAGAACTACTCGAAGACGATTTATCAACTAGAATATTTTGTCAAGGGGGCCTTAATACATTACGGTACTGTGACTATAATAATTAAAATAATATATTGTACACGCGCCGACCATAACCGCTACCGTCACCACCGTGTTGATATTGTATCGCTGTATAAACGACTTTTGCGAAAGGCAACACAATTGGCAGCGATTTGGTTTGCCGAACACATTAGATAATGACAATGTAATTCATACAACGTTTATTATATCGATAGTCCGCGGGTTCGACGCCACCCGTAGCGACGAATAAAAAAAAAAAACCCGGGCAAATCTCGCGGGTAGTAAATGCAATAAAACGACCCGGATAGAAAGTAGCCCTCATTAGCATCATTGAAGAATAAAACATAATAATATATAATATAATAAGAATTCAATTTCTACACGATAAGGGCTCCCCCATGGACTACTTTTTTTTTTATATAAATTATGATTAAAACCGTTTAATAGATAAAGGCACGTACGAGTGCTTGACCCCATGCACTCGTCAGACCATATTATATTCCGATTCGGAAATGCCCGTATATAATGGACGCTATAATCTAATTATCGCGCATTATTTTACAGCCTAAATTATATATTATTAAACATTGTTATGGTGTTAGTAAAAAGTCCACTAGCGAATAAAATAGCCAATAGGTATACAACATTACAGGGGAAATCTATTATTGTAATAAAAATACCAGTATTCGCTGAAGATGCTATACGTCAGTACGAAAATTGATTATGATTTAATACATATTACATTGATATCAGTTTCAAAGGCCGGCGGGTCGATAATACAATATGTGTAATAGTATATAATATAATTACAAAAGTGTTTACACTTAATATTCGTATGACCATAATACAGTGTTACAATAATTGTAGCTGCTCGTTAAAGTTTATGTTACATGAAAACCTGGCCATATTGTAACATAAGCCACCATCGGCTTTTAGACAAATACGTATAAAAATACATTAAAACGTTATAAGCTATAGTAATATGTACATAAATAATATCATAGTATCACTTTGGTATTATATATAGTTGTGCACGAGTAATTAAACATTCCCTCGTATTACTGACAGTCACTTTGATCTATAAAGAAAGTGTAGGTGAAAGAATGATCCAACTTTCAAATAAAATTTTCTGTGTAGTCGCATATATTATGTTCACAATAGTAGGTACATACTACATTCAATAAAAAATTCTATCGACTCAAGGTCGCACATATCGCATAAATAGTGCTCGAGATAAGATGTATTTATATTTTATGTAAATATATCAACCAATGTTCATTAATTAAATATTTTTTCTACTATTCAAATCGGAAATTCTCCCCAACGGTGGTTCAACGCAAAGTGTTGGTATATATAGAAAGACATTTTTAATTTCAATCCCACTATTATAAAACTGGTTTTCTGTGCGGCATACGCCCGGTTCAAATATGCATATTATAAACACATTGGGCATATTAATTGCTAAATTCATTTCTACACAAAATGAAAATGATTATATTACAAAATGGTAAGAAAAGTGTTATGTTCTCAATAATATTATTCACGCTATATTAATAATGACATTTCTAAAAGTTTTAATGGAATATAATACTATACTGGTAGTTATAATTTATATATATTAAAAAAAAAAAAAAAAAAAATGAACATAAAAGTACATAAATTGTACACACACGGGCGTACAAACTAAAATATGTATAAGGTAGGTAGGTACTTATATTTATTATATATTGGTACGCTGATCGGACTTTTCCTTCCGTGGGCGTTGTCTGTGTCAAACCAGAAATTCATATGAATTATTAAAAGTACGGCCGATTAAAATGTTGGCTAGGGTATTAATTTATTGAACACATTTCGATCACTGATATCGAAGGTTTGTTTATATTTATTTGTGACGAGCTGGATAATGATTTTAATATTTTTTTATTTTTTTTTTTATGTATTTTGATATATTCTATATTATGTACAAGCTTCCTGCATATATTAAAAGTTATAACTGCATAAACAAAACAATATAGGTATATAGGTATTTAATATATGCGATTGTGGAATGTGATACGGCCGATTTACTTTTGCAAAATAATGTGCTCGATGACTGTTTGATTTTTTTTTTTCTGTTATTTGGTCAACGTTGTGCATTATCAGCTGGATTTTAACTTCCTGTTGTTTGTAACAAGATAATAATACATATGTATGTGTATACTTTATATTGTATGCAATTTATGTCTGAGTGTGTTTTTGAACTGTTTATACATAGGTACTACGGTAGAAAGAAAACGTGCTGCTATAGGTACCTATTACGTAAGGAAAACACACTTTCCATGAAAACGGAACGGGTCGGAATTAACTGAAGCATATTATAGAACAATAGTCGGCGGTTTTCGAAAAATGCATGGTCCAAGTAATCGATAAATGTAAAACCAGCACACTCGTTATGGTCGGAGGAAAATCAAATAATATGTAAACATTATAAATCACCTGGTCCAAATCCGAATCCCAGAGGTCCTTCATGTCGTCGTTGATGAACGGGTCGAGCTTAAGCTCCATGTATATGCCCAAAGCGTCCATGTCTTGGCAGGACATGGTCATGTTTTCCCGCGGCGTCTGTCGTATGATCGTTTGTCGTTTTCTCGCACGGGGTAGCGCGAGGAGTGGAAAAACGGTGCGACGCTTAGTGATATACGCGGATGGTGTACAGCACAAAAACACAAAAACAAATTACGATAAAAAAAAAAAAAAAAAATAAAGAAAAATCGAAATAAAATCGCGAACAACGACGGACGAGACAAACCACCACAATTGTACGTAGGTATTTACGATGTGTAATTAGAGGGGAGGGGTGTACGACGATTTTGAGCCGCGTAAGTCGGTCGTGTTTTGAATACGATGATGTCGCGTAAAAAGCGGATCGCACTGAACTCGGAGTGAACGCGCGAATCGTCGTCCGTCTTTACATTTTCCGGTGAAACAATATAGATGTGATTATGTTATTACCATACGTGTCGGTCTTGCGCGAGTTTAACGACGATAATAATAATTAAAAGAGTAAATGATTTTTAAGAACAATATGCTAAAGAATAAATACACAGGCACACATACACATAAATATAAACAAAAAATTTTAACCACACACGCGCGTGTATACGGGCACAACGTGGGGACTGAATCGTTTGCCGGGCGCGTCTGATATTAATGAGAGGAACGTACGAGCGCGCGCGAGAGACCGACGACCTGTTGCTGATGCCGAGGCGTGTACGGCGACCGTCGCGTCGTCGGACGTGCGTGTGTGCACGTCGGCGCGTCTGGCTCGGCGATTGTCCGGGCGGACGGGTGGGTGAAGTGGAAGTTGCGCGGCGCGCCAGCGCCATCTACCAATATCGTGGCGGGAACTGATAATAATAATAATAATAATAATAATAATAATAATATTATCATCATCGAGATGCATATTTTTATTCATAACGTTATTTTTTTTTAAAAACAAAACGCGATAATAAAAAAAATATCCTGCGCCGTTCAGTGGCGTATACGGATTTTTTTAGCGTGGTTTTTTTCAACCACTGGTATACAAAATGGTATTACATAAAATAGGGCAGGGAGGAACGAAATAAATATAAAACGTATAATAGGTGTATCGAGCTCCGTAATAAATGACTCAATTATTTACGAATACTGCCATACCGATAATTATATCATTCATTAGCCTTATCTGCACGACTGTCGAGCAGATTATAATATGATTTTATAAATATTCCTACATTGAATATAGGTAAGATATGCCCGATTTTTTTGATTTTTTTTTTACAGTTATTTACAGGATATATTTCATAGTTCATGTTACCAACAGCTGCCGTTTTGTTCGAAATCTCAAATGTCGAGGGAGGAAGTATAATGTACGAGTATTATATACTAAAATTATTTTCAGCGGATACCTGCAGCAAAATCCACTAATAATCAAGTTGTCGTAACTTGAATGTTAAATGTACATAACAAATAGGGCACAACTGAAAAAACAGGTCAAGGAGAAGATTCATATTATGTTTGACAATGCAATTACTGATAAGTGGCTATTTCTTGTGTTATTAATATAGAATATAGATTAATATTATCAAAAATTATAAATTATAATAATAACAAATACACTTATCAGCTGACTGGTATTCGATTTACTCAATTGAATTGTAATGAATCGTATTATTATCACGTGAATAATGTATTGATTTCGTAAAAATGTAAGATAAAATCTTGACATTTTTTTTGAAAAACGTTGTTTAAAAAAAAAAAAAAAAAAAATTGGATTGAACAAAATTATGACATTTATTGTTTGTTAATCACAGTAGGTATTACCTTACTATATAGGGCCTACACTGAGTTTAGACTATATTCATTGATTAGTTTAAATAATTAAATGAGCTACTTAGATATTATAACCTCTTACCATATGTTATTATTCAATCCTATCTTATGTCTGGAGATACAGAGACCGGTATGAAACGATCTACGTTTTGTCATTGTATTTGTTGAAATAACTTCCAGATGTGTGTTAATATTAAAGGGCATCATTTATCTACTCAAATATTATAATTTATATTAATTCTAGTATACATATAATAATTTAAAAATAATATTCCAAATTAAAATACTTTCAATTTGCAATCACGAATAATATACGTAAATATTAGAAACTTAAGTCATACAATTAAGTGCTATTAAAATCATATCTTATATAAAAGTCATGTGTTAAAAATGTTATTAAATGTGTTATTACTTATTGTTATGATAATGGTATGGGTTAAACGACTTAAACGTAGCATGATACGTATATAAACTATACCTACCTATATTGAGTACAATAATATGTTATTATAGTTTATAGTTCTCTGTATATATATTCAGCATACAGCGTAGTTGTAAAATAATATATTAAATTGTTCCATTTTAATAATATATACTCGTAATTTAGTACAACCGTATTGGTAAGCAATATTCTATAATATTACTTAACTTAATAGTGTAAGCATAATAAATAATAATTAATTTTTGATTGTTATCCCTAATATGTACATATTAAAAAAAAAATTACATAACCAATTATAGTCATACATTGATCTGAAAGGTAACTCTTTTCAACCGATTACCATTGTTTACGTATTACATTCTTTATTCAATTTTATGATACATAAGTATATAATTTTAAACATTTGACATGGAGGTACCCGATATTAAGAATTCATTTTCCAATGTAAGGAGAAATTGTAAATTTAATATGTTTTTTCTTTATTTAGTTAGAAATCAAATAACCAGGTAGGTAGTTTAAATTTAACTTTTAAATAGTTATAATATCATGAATAGGTATTTTAATATGTTTATTGTTTTCATTTTTCACACTAGCTATATCTATTATAATTAATATGTAATAATATAACAATGCTTAATAGATAATTAGACAGGAATGTAATTGAACATTATTTGTGTTAATATTCTATGAGAAAATATTGAAATTTATAAATTTATATGAATCAATTGCTTTGTATTAATATTTTATTTTTATATACATACCTACATAATATTAGTAAATAAATTATTAGTGTAAGTGTTTCATCTTCTTTAGCAAATAAACATAATATTTTGGTTTAAAATAAATGATACTAACATAATATCCAACTTAAATGTGTTTCACTAATTATGTAGCACCATTAAACATAACAATCTGGATAGAAGATCTTACTACTTTATTTTTAATATTATGACTTCACAAAATTACTATAAATATATATAGTATGTATATATTTTTTTAAATGCAACTACAAAATAAAAATATTATGAAATATTTCAAGTTCAAATCTTGAAAACTATTTTATAAATAGTAATGTGCTAATATAAATTCTGCATTAAATTTAACTTCAAATGCTTTATACGCCATGATTTAATCAAAATATTAAGGATACGATAGTCTTTTGATTAACTCAAAGCAACTAAATATTTTATTAAAATGATACGAAAAGAAATTTATGGTGTAAAAGAAATTTCATTATAACCAGCTATAGTCTTTGCTTCATAAAACTAATGTTTTTAGTTTAAAACGAGGTTATTAGATCAATGGTAATAATATCATCGTGTGTTTCTATAGCAAGGTCGACAAGACAAGTCTTAATAGCTGATTTAAGGAAAGTGTCAACAAGTCCTAAAAATATTAAGTATTTTTCACCGATTAATAGTTCCGGCATTGTATGACGCCATATATTATTACTTAAATAAACAATTATTATCATTATATTATTTAATTCCATTAAAGTATTTCTAGTTAATTTAAGTTTTATAATAGTGTGTGTAAGAATATAAATCAATTTTTTTTTACATAGCTTAATAAAATGATTCCTGTTATTAAATTAAAATATAATTATATTGCACGCATGTAACTGTAGATAAATAGTATATTCGTATATAGCTAATATGCTATTAATGCAAATAATTTATAATGTAGCGCAAATGCATAATCACTATAATAAATGTAGGTACCTACTTATTTTCCTAGTACAGAAAGAAAATGGTGAATGATAGTAATACTAAGAAGTCGTTTAAAAGAAACCAATAAAACATATTATAAGCATACAATAAATTTAAAATGAATTTATATTTTAAAAATGTAATATGCTTTGGGAAATTTCATAATAACTAATAAATAGTAGGTAATAGGTATTTACCAATTTTATCACGCACAAAATTTAACTTAAAAATGTACACGATTGTATACGTCGTTTTTTCGTATTATTTGTTATATTATTGAACAAAACAATTTCATGATTTTCAATACACGTAAAACAAATATTTTCTTTCAAATATAATGTAGAATTTAATTTAAAAAAAATTGTTTAATCATATTAATAGTTATGTTATTAAATCAATTTATAGTAGTTGAAAATACATTTCAGAAAATTTATCACTCTACACGTCTTGTCTGTCAACTTTTCAAAATATATTTAAGCAATTAATTATATGAATCTTGATCTACCTTAATTTAATATATGATCATAAAATTATTATTGTTTTAAATATAAAAACGGAAATTCAATGAATTATACATAAAAAAATTAATATTTCATAATTTAAATAATTAGTAATATTATTTACAAGAAATATAAACATTGTTGGTTGAAAAAAAAGCAATTTCTCAACACTATGATGGTCGGGCACATTTTACGTAAAACTGTTGTCTGAGATTACTTCGATGAAGAACTCCGTCAAGTGGATAGAATGTCTACACGCCACAGACCTATTGAAAGGACTTCAAGTACCAAGATAGTTGGTTTTAATATACCATTTATTTTGATTTTTCTTATTGAGTTAAATCAGTAGGTATAGTTAAAAATAAAAATCCCCAAGTACCAGAACATAGACACTTTACAATAAATTTAAAAAAAGACACATAAATAGTGTCATAAGTAACAAATTTAAAGGGAATAAATCTGATCGAGTCTGTAAGGTATAGAGTAGTTTCTCATTTGCTACATATATTTTCAGCTCATTTTATTTTATCATCATACTATTTAGTTGTAATTTATATGTTAGGATATAAAATTTAGTAAAATATTTTATTGTTTTAAACAAAATTAAATGCTGATAAACTGAACTAAACACAATTATTTAATTAAAGTCATTCATTTCATTTTAGTGAACTTTTAGTGATATAATTAATCTAGCATAGTGAAAAAGAATAGGTAAAAGTTTCAGAGTAAATATTTTTAAAAATATTTGAATATTATTTAAATTAGAAATTCAGTTGTTATAAATTTACAATGTTTATATGCGTAAATGGTAACGTAATTTATTATTGTATACAATGTTTAAAAAATAAAGAATTGTTTTTTCAATTTAACTAAAATTTACATTTTTCATTCTGCTCCAGCAACAAATAACAAACGCCGTAAGACATAAATAATATTTGACGTATGACTTTAATATGGTATCCATATAAATATACATTTTTATATTATTTTTTTTTAAATGTAGTATCCTAGGATATTTACTTATTTAACTGTTAAGAGCTTGCATTAAATATATTCATTGTAATATAGTATTATTTTCAATAAATTACATTTTTAAAAGCCAACGCCTTAATAATACTATAATATAATTTCGCTTTACATACTGTAGTATATCTTTTTCAATTATTATTCACTAACCATATTATACTTTATTTAATAGAATTTATTTTTTTTGGCAAAGTTACAAAATTCAAACAATATAATAAACACGAACAAATGTGACACACTCTAAATGTAAATTACTTTTTCGAAATTGTTTACTAAGAATGTTCAGATTGGCATACCATCTAATTTTTAAAACATCATTTTTACTTTACCCGCTACCTATATTTTGTAGTATATTAATTTGATTTTAATTTTTAATTATCTACCTACAGTTAAAATAGATTACTATAAAAAGTAGTTAATCATTTAAATTTTAAAATAAATAGATTCAATCACGATTAAATATCGAATCTTAAATAGTTTAAAAAAGCGAAAAATTACAATATCAAATATTTTTATAGCACATAATATGATTATTTGTATATGATTAATAATTTATAGTATTTCAAATCCTTACAGTATGCTATTTCAAAAAATAATTTCCTAAATAGGAGATAATATAACAATGCACTGTTTAGTATTGTCACAATAAATTAAAACAATAATTCTAAGCTCTAGCAATAATGTTACTTAAATCTATAAAAAATTATGTTTTATTCATTTATTACAATTCAGTATCCATTGCAAATATTTATAATATTGTTTGTAACCATAAAATTATGCAATATTAATTATTATTTTGAAATGTAAGTTACCTACTCAATAAATTACTGTTTTTTTTTATTATTATTGAATGATCCTTTATTAATAATACACTTCAAAAGCTTAAATGATGTATGTGTTGCCTAAACAACATAAATATAAGGCGTTTTGTGTTTAAAAATATTAACTAATGATTTTGTATCGTAGTAGTTTATAAATGTAAAATGACTTTTATGCATTAATTTTTAGTATAAATATTGAAGTTTTAAGCTAAGTACTTGGTTTAAAATTTCCATCTTTATCTTAACAACAATAAATTCAATCTGGTACAAACTTAAATATTTATTCATGATTTAAGTCTGGTAAAACTATAATTTATAAACACATTATACCTTACATATATATTATATATTAAAGACAAATTAATGTTTCTGCAAACAATATTTAAACATCTTAATCTAAATTCTGCGGTCGTCATACCATCTTTGGTACCAACACAGAGAGAACATGTAAGAAAAATATAACAATTGACGGTATCTCTAACGGAATTTTGATAATAATGCCAATCGTCCTTTTATTATATTATTATAGGTACTTTGTTTCGTCTTCGCAAGCCGACTCATAGCCTGTTTCTCTCAAAGCCACGTTCACTGCTTCTTCTTTCTTATAACTTCTTAGGCTGATTTATTATCCCGTGGTTCACCTTCTTAAACAGTGCTGTAACGACTCGCGCTCCTTTTATGGCCTTCTTTCTCATTCGCCATTTCTTTGAACATAATGTAGAATTTTAAAATATTGTGATTTTTTCCCGGAACAGAATAGCGGTCCTTTGATAGTAGTTGGTCAACAAGTCTGACTTCTCAAGTCCACACACCAAGTTTTGAAGGTCCACGGGTTAAAGATGCATTCCCAGGATCCTATCCGTGTCTATTCTTGCCTTAATTTCTCATTTGAAAGATTCTGAACTGAGTGTTATATTAACAAAAGATAAAGCAAAATAATACTGATATTTTGTTTTAAGCCTTATTCATAAATTGAAAAATATTAATTGTTGACCTTTAATTGCCTATCTGATTCGCCGCTTTAAATAATTTTTACCTTTATAGTATTACAGTAAATGTAACAATTTTGAATGTTTATAGACTTTAAAAATTATTGATTTTAAAATATTTCCAAGAAGAAGAGAAAAATCGTTCAACGTCATGTTTTTTTTTCAAATTTGCGCCGTCGTCGTCAAGTGAAGCACTCGACTGTAACCGAATTGTCACCAATGTCACCAATTATTATAATATAGATACAATTAGTACTGCAGGCGAACGATTGCGGATGAGAAACACGCACACTCATAGGCCAAATATAAACGTTCCTATATAAAGCATTATTCAAAATGCGAAGTGATGTACGTGTGTCTACATAGAATTATTATTGTTATTTATTAACAGGTGTTAGTTTTACGTGTCACGCGTTTGCGCACACAATGATTTATGAGTCATAAGCTTACTGAAATAAAAGCACACTCTTGGCGATTGCGGATAAGGATAAGCGAACTAGATATTGTATCGTTTTCAATACAACACATTTTCAACTTAAATCAAAATTCGAATACGATTATAGTTATCAATCCAATAACAACGTTTAATTTCAAGAAAAAATAAAAAATAAAATACTAGGTAGTTATTAAAATTATTTTTGAGTTTCTATTGCTGTGTATGTAAGTAATTATTTCTAAGTGCTTATGCTATTTAATGTTGTCGTGTTTACTATATTCATAATATTTTATTGTTCAAAACTGTATTGTTGTCAGTTAACCAATACTGGTTTTTAATCATAAATATTATATCGCTTAAAAATAAATCTAATAATAATGTTATTTTAGCTTATAAGCGTAAGTTTATCATTTATTATGATGTTTACTAATGTTTTAATATGCATTTTCATTTTTCCTCAGTAATAATTACTGTTGAAACACGTTAATAGTTTTTGAGGGTTTATACATTATAAATATATTATTAAACTTCGGTAATCTTGAATAATTAAAATTCAAAAAAATTACATTAATTTTTATGATTTTGTATTCGCTTTATTTTTAATTTGTAAATATGAAACTATTGAAAACGAATATAAGTAACAATAAAGATTAGAAACAAATAATAAGAAATAAATATGAAAAATTTTTAAAATAATATATATGAAAATAAATGTGTAGATTTATTTTAATCTAGTATTTATAGAGAATAAAGAAAATAAGGTATTAAAAATGATATTTTTGCCTGAAAAGCTACAAGCTAGATGGAAAAATAGAGAATATTATTTAAAAATAAAAATAATAGTAACAAATTAAATAAATAAAACTAATTTTTGAATTAATGTAAATTTAATTAGCTTGGTATGTTTAATTTGAATTCATATAAAAGAAACAAGATGATAAACACTAATACTAACTAGAAAAAGATTAGTAGGTACTTGGAGTGGCAGAAGATACAAAGTTACGTAAAATGTTTTTCAACTACGTTTTAATATAATATAGAAAGTAAAGTATTATAGCTTTTCTTGGAAACGTATTAAATAGTAGGTAATTATTTTTAAAAATTAAGAAATAAGTCCTTTTTCATTATCGTTGTAATTATATAATTATTACATTATGAACTATCATTCTTCAACGTCAAACATAAATTTGTAACTTGATTTGCTATGTATACAACGAGTAGTGGAAGCATATAGAAATAAATGTAAATCTCACAACTTCATGAAACATTATTACTATTATTTTTTAAATTTTCATAACTATATATCAATTATAGGTATAGTTATAGTTAGGTTAGGTTAATATGGTTAATAAATAAACCATTTTAAGGACTATTATAATTAGGCATTAGTATATTTTACATACTATTCTTTATATTATATTTAATTTTTCTATTTATTATTATTATTTTTTAATATATTTTAATAACTTAAAAACTACTTGTTTGGATTTTTATTTGAATATAAATAAATTTTCAAAAAAAAATCTGTTCAAAAATTTACAATAAAATAATTTGTTTTCTTTTGAAAAAAATTAATTTGCATAAACACAGGATACCTATTAAGTGACAAAAAAATCTAAATAATTTAAAATATTGTTTGAAATGTACTAAAAGTTAAAAATTCAACAAAAAGAATACTATTAGTAAAGAAAGACTCGGGGTGAGCATGTGCTTGGATCTGTAAATGATAATAATTTAATAATGAGCCGCCAACGATGAATTCGGTACACATTTAACATTTAAAAGCGTACCAGATAAACACTTGCACTTGTATTTCGTACACGAATGTCCTTCCCCCCTCTCGATATTCTCTCTGAATCCGTCCTTGCGTCCCTGCACTACACCATCTGGATCCAAAATATGTTTAATATCAATTCGCTGTGTTCTGTGTCATGATTAGAGTCGGAGAGCAGCACACACACACACACACACACACACACACACACACACACAAACACATATACCCAACCCAACCTAACCTGCGCGTGCGGTACCGGCGACATTATAATTTATTATTGTCGATCCTGTGTTGCAGTAAACATATTAATATTGATGTTGTGCTGAAAAACAACGAACGCGTCGTCCTCGGCGCGAAGACGCGCAAAACGGTGTACGGCGCTCATCGGCGCTGCAAACCGTCCGGAGGAACGGGACCCCCACAATTTTGGCGGGCGCCCGCGGTAGGAGGTGGGACAAACGCCCGTCGACGCACCGACGCGGCGAGACGCGTCGTCTTCACACGCACGCCGACCCGGCGACAGGACGGATAACGCGACACACACCGAGACCCACGGCACGCGCTACACGGGCACCGTGCTGCACGAGAACCACGATGATCGCGGGCACGCTGGTCGCGGCCATCAGCTGTTGGTCGCTGTTCGCCGCCGGCGCCAGACAAGGTTCCAACGGGCGTCCGGGGCACTTCGACGGAGACCTCGTCCGGCGGTACCGCGCCAACACCGCCGGCGGCGAACGCTGCTGCACCGGACAATCCCTGTCGAATGCACCGGCCTTCGCCGACGACGCTGCGAATCCCGAAGAGGTAAATAACAAAGTCCGGCCCGACCGGGTCAGGTCGCTATATGTCATCGCGTACCGCCGCCTTGTTAACACGATTGTTAACGAGTGTGACCCGCGAACGATCATCGTATTATTTTAATGGGCGTATATCGATTCCGCCGATTTTTGATATCGATTCCGCCGGATATTGATTCCGCCGACTGCTGTCTGTGATATTTAGGTGTATCGATTCCGGCGGATATTAATTCCGCCGGCTACTGTCGGTTATCGGTGAACGAAAATTTGCTATGTCCGTACACACGTGTAAGACGTATTAATTGATGTTATTAAATAATATTAATTGGATTATACGTTTTAATTTTGATTTATACAATTATTACTATCATTAATATATTCACATACACGTATTAATTGTTAGGATGCACGTTTTAATTTTGAATTATACGTTTATACAATTATTATTATCATTTTATACAATTTAGACTATACATTTTAATATTTATTTTTTTTATTTTTTCATAAAAATTAAAAATTTTGTAACACTTTAAATAGAAATTTAATAATATTTATTGTTGATTTATTTTATCACAACAATAAAAATATTTGGATAATTAAACACTATAAAATTTTTATTTATTTATTCATAGAAGGTGCAATTCATTTTTTTATTTTTTTGGTGACGTAAACTAAAAAAGTTTGGAAACCGCTGCTATATATTTAAAAATACATATACAAGGGGGGCATAAACAGTGTCCAGCAGAATCGATGTGTGGATATTATAAACAGTAGCCGGCGGAATCGATATGTAAGTATTATAAACAGTAGCTGGTGGAATTAATAGCTTGCGGAATCGATATGTGGATATTTTAAACAGTAGTCGGCGGAATCGATACAAACCTTTTTCCTAAACAGGTAGTTTTGGCGGAATCAATAATTCCCCATTTTAATGTCGTCCACAGACTGCACAGATAAAATGCGCATTTTTTAAAATCTTGTATAGATAGCAAAAAAAGAAAAAAAGAAAAAGAAAAGAGATTCGCTTAATTTTTTATTTATTTAGATAGGTATTAAATTTGAATCCATGCTATATTGTTTAGTGTGATCTATACTCCGTACGGGAAGGTGGTTTTAAAGCGGACCGAGTGATCTATTTTATACGTTAAAACATTACACAGTTATTAATTGTAAACGTGTCCTATTAAAATCAGTAGAGGTATTAATTTTTTTTATTTGTAGAAGATTAAATATTAATTGATTTAAATAATTTTCCAATGAGACCTAAATCAACATTTTAGGTACATAAAAAAAAACCATAAAAAGTTACATACAGAATTAATGAAACATGCTAATAATTTAAAATGTTATACATATTATAAATAATAAGTATTTGTATGAAAGTTTAAATATTTATTAGCGTAAACTAATTTTTATACAAATAGAACCAATCTTTTTAACTCTTTCCAAATAACTGTATGATAGGTCAGTAAAATCACGAAAAATAAAAAAACCATATCTATGATAATCCACAAGGTGTTAGTTATAACGTCGTTCAGGGTTAATTATTAGTTGATATGATAAAAATATTGTACAATATAATATATAAATTAATAATTATCAGCGATTTTTGTACATGTACAAATAATTAAACATTTTATCAAGAAATAATTATAAAAACATAATCTAATAAAATTCTTCCATGTTTATAATGTGTTAAATCAACTAATATGTTTTGGTTATTCCCTAAGTAATGTTTCTTGGTAATATTAAGGTACTAATTATCTTTCAATTACAATTTTACTGACTATTGATCTGATTTTTTATACAAAAATCTATAATTACCTATTTAGGTATCCATAGATCCATAGTCTACCTAGTAATGACTTTAATGGGTTTTATATTTTACTCATTTGTTAGAAATTTCAGTTAGTTATTTTAGGTTTTCAAATTAAGTGGTTGTTCCATTGATATAATGTCAAAATGATATTGATAAATTCGGGTTAACTAAATAAGATAGGATAAAATATGTTTGAAGCAAATGTTTAAAAAATTTATCTAAATTGGATGTATATTTTGATACAGGTTGATACAGGTGGTTATAAATATTTTTTGTATAGTTAAGTTTTTGACTAGAAAACGATACTTTTCAATCTTCCATAGATTTTATTTTCCTTGGGGTTATATACACTTTACGCTTGTTATCGCTTTTTTAATTGTTATTGTACAATTGTCAATTTGTAATGTTTTATAAATTATATGTTATAAAAATAAACTTTAAAATTTATTAGGTTTTTTTTTAATTTTTGCTAACTAAAATTTAAACGAAAATGTACAGTACGTTTTTTCATACACATTAATCATGTTTAATTACTTAAATTACACTTACTCTAAAGTTTAGAGTCTAAACTATAATAATTATATGATATGTATTAACTTAAATTTACTTTGATATATTTTGATGGTATTAAGAATAAAATATGAACGATATGAATAATAAACATTATTAGACGTTATAAATAAGCCTGCAGTATTTACTTTTTAAGTAGGAAGTTAGCGTAAGAGTTACAATATAGAGTGACGAGTTTAAAATAATTATATTGCCCTTGATGCATTCTCAAACGGATGAAGATTTTGCAGGTCATATAAAATTAGTTACTATCCGTTACTATTTTGATTTTTTAACAATATAACATAATGTAATATTGTTTAGTATAAATTTAAGTAAATTATCTTTAATAAATGTTTTGTATACTTGTTTGGAACCTAAAAGCAAAATAATTGTACTACCTAACTACTGATAATACAATTTACATTGAACTTGTAATTTCATGACAACATGACTTGCATGTATCATGCACGATACACATTGTTGCATTTGTACAAACATTTATAATATTTTAATATTCAGTACTTCAATCATTTTTAATTTATTTTCATATTTTTCTATCGATCTCGAACATAACTTTTGCTTCATTGCCATTAGATAGGATTGATACATTTTTAAATAATGATTTTAGTATTGATTATACTTTAATAATTATAAAAATATAAAAATAATTACAATGTTTTATTTAAATATTATAAAATAAAATTTATGTTTTAGAAAAATTATAATTTCTAAATTTTCTTTGTTTTATCCTGAATTTAGCTCACGTATTAATATATTGTATGTTAAAGTATCTCAAGCCGTGTACACGATATTATATTGAATTTGAAGTAGAAGTTGCATTTTTGGTGTTTAGGTTGAATTTTATTATTTATTTATTAAATTAAAACTATTTATTATATAAATAGTTAATTTTTTATTTTTTAATTTATTATTTTATAATTGTAATACTCAACGATTTTTTAAAAACACATATTATTGTGTTTTAGATTCCATTGGATGTCATAATGGAATTGAACCAGGTGATAAATGTTTCAGAATTATTCACTAAATTTATGCCAGATACTAATATGGATGAAGCTCAAAGACGTTTTATCACAACAGGTTTTCAAAGTAAGTTAATAACTTACTGTTAAAATAAAAATTAATACTTAAAATACTTAAAGAATCAAATAATATATTATATAATATACTGAAATTATTTTCTCATTATAACGTTACCTCTGAACAAGTACCTATAAAATCACGGTAACTATTTTAATAAAATAATATTATTTTTAAGAAATATCAATACGATTCATAATAAGTAATAATAAACATAATATGCGGGTATAATGCAAAAAATATATTATGTAATTAAATTATGAGCTATTCAAAATTAAGTATACTATATATTTTATAAAATAAAACTTTTTAATGCATTTAAAATATGTATTTTATAAAAAAAATAATACTAATTAGTAATATGCATTTAAGTAATCATAAAATGTTTTTTTTTTCAGGTCGTACTACGTTAAATTTGGAAAGAAGTATGATGTATAATTCAAAAACAAAAAAAAAAAAAAATAATAATTATAATACTTTTAATAATTTATTAATTAAATATTATACATTTATATAAATTAAAAATGATGTGTATACATTGTGTAGAAGCAGCATTTATACCAAAGCCGGCTAGTTGTTCTATTGAAAGTCAAACGATCAGCCTAAAGGATACTGATGATCGAAGTTTATATTATTTCCCTTCGTGCACGCGAGTTGATCGATGCGGAGGTTGTTGTAGTCACGATTTATTGGCTTGCCAACCGACTAAAATTGAGACACTTCACTTCGAAGTATGTAATTCTAAAACACCTGCTTATTTGAAACTTTTAAAAGTCATGTAATGTCTAATAGGTATTGGTATCGCAATACAATGGAGCAGGAAAATTAGAATTCAAAGGTAGAAAAACAGTGTCAATAGACCGACATTTGAAGTGTAAATGTGAATGCATCGTTAAAGAAGAAGTGCGATTAATAATTAGTTTTCTTTTTCTTTTTCTTTTTATAACTATTGTCTAATAATAATATATTCATTACTTTTTTTTCTACAGGACTGTAGCCCATTGCAAGTGTATAATCGCAAAGAATGCCGATGTAAGTGTAGCAATGAAGATGATGAAGATAAGTGCAACGATGAATACGAATTAAAGCAATGGAACTCTGCGACATGCAAGTGTGAATGTCGTGAAATTAAGGAATGTACTTCAGGATTTGGATTTGATACTTATACTTGCAGGTGATTTGTCAACAGTTTAAATAATTATCACATAGAAATAAATTATAATATTATAACTATTGTATACATATATTTCAGGTGTGAACCTTTGAGAATAAGAACAAAGAATACTGGTACTCATTTGAACAGAAACAAATATTCGTTAGTAATTTCATGAGCTCCATTCTCCCAAAAAAGATACTAATGGGAAATATTGTACATTATATAATAAATATAGAGAACTGATCGCTCTGTTATTTATATTATTTACACTATTATTTAAGACTATTAAAGTATTATGTTATATAAATGTTGTTTACCTAAATTCTTGTTCATAGAAAAATGTTAGTTTGAAAGATGATTGTAATTTAAAAGCGAATGCCAGTTCATTTAAAATTTTTTAAGTGTTTTAAAAAAAATATTTATTGGATAAATAATATCTTTGTTACATTTTAAATATTATTGTTAGAATTTATTGAAATATGATAAGATTATTCTTTTAATCATAATTTTAATTCTAATTTTAATTTTAATTTTTAAGACCAGTATTTATTCAAAGTAAATTTATGATTATAGCTCAGATTTTGAAGCAAAAAAAAAAATAAAAAAAAATAAAAATAAATAGCAGATAAAGCATAATGATTTATAAAAAGAACAATGATACAACAAATATTTTTTCATAGTTTGAATGTGTTTTTCTTTCATATAGACTTAATATAGTCCATAATACCATAGATTAAATATACTTAGTATATTTAATCTATGATAATACTGTTTTGATATTATAATTTCACATAATTTGTAAAATATCAGACAAAAAAGACTGATTTTCAATCTATTTAACATTATTTTAGATATTGAGCGGAACAGTTGAATATGTTGGTTTTATAATATGGTATTTTGTAACATTATTGGTTTCATATTTATGTGTAGTTTTTTTAAGTTTTATCTAAATGCTTTTCAAAATTACTGCGGAAAACAAAACAAAAAAAAAAACAATTATGACAAAATGGTAGGTACTTTCGTAAGATACAATTATTTTATTTGTGTATAAACAATTTAAAATTTAATACAAATCAAATATATAATAACATTTTATCCTCAAATTATTAAAGTGAAAACTTTAAAAATTCAATTACGTATTATTATTTTCATTATACAGTTTATTTTCAAAATGTTAAGACTAATTTAAAATTAATTACAAACAATTAAAAACCGTCAAAAATACATTATAGGGAATTTAATATTTAAATTAGAAATTTTAACGAAATTCGTCTAAATTATAAAAACTAAAAACTATATAAATTAAAAATGTATACAATTGTCAATATTTATGGCTAAGACTTGATATTTATAATACGATTTTGTTTATGCTGAGTTGGTCTTATAATATTTTTAAAATATTAAATATATACACAATTGTTTTTATAGAAATTTGAAGTCAATATTTTTTCTTGCATGTTTTGAATGTTTATTGAAACACTAAAACTTTGGTCAATATTTTTCGATAATCAATGAAAAAATGGTTTAATTGAATCGTATATTTTTTATGAAGATGATGGGGATTCAATTTTATCGTTATGACTTAATGACTAATGGGTAGTTTAGATTACATTTTATAATAGAAATACAGAATACTAGTGCAAGATAAAATTTATTAAATCATTGATTGCGTCTATTATTGTTTAATTTGTAGAATAATTATTTAGTTATACATTTTTAGTGCATTAAAAGCTCGGACAAACAGAACGCGGTTTCTATAAAATAATACAACCGGATCCGCTGTCCGTGGCCGCTATAGCAGACCGCGTTTTGTTTGTCCAAGCCTTAAAATCTTTGTTCTATGTACCTATATATTATAATTCAACACTATATGTGTTTCATTAAATATTTATAAATATAAATTTGATGGTATATTTTATCTACGAACAATATTTGATTAAATTTATTTTCCATATATTTTAATACGATTGAATGCTAATCGAAATAAATCGATTGTGGTTATGAAAAAAAAAAAATAAAAAGTCACTTGCCTTATTTTTATCGATTATGTTGGTATGCAATACTTACACGTGAACGTTTGTAATGTCGGTTATACCCACGCGGTATCCTTCGTTAACTTTCGTTCATTTTCACGCCATCGCGGTTGGAGAACGGACGCGCGAGATTCACTAAGACCGTAATTCTCACAGACTTACGATTCCCAATCATGATGGCTGTTTACGCGCTGTCCACCGTCCATTTGTCTCTGTCCGTCTTCGCCGTCGCCTTCGCCGAATCCGCCGTCGCTGATGATACTGGACACCCGCGGGAAGTAAATAGAAGTTTTTCTTTTACACGCCGTCTCTTCAATCGTAATAATAAAATAGGTATATACAATATACCCCGACACTCCGATTTTTGTTTTACCATTAACTGTACCACAGTTTTTAACAACATTTGTACCACTGATTTCAAAAATCTTATCAATTGTTTCTCGCACAAAGATTAATTTTTTTGAAAAGAAAAATTAAAAATCACTTTTTTTTTAATAACGGTGTTTTTGGGGTAGCGTTACCTTGTCTTCAAAGCGAAAACGTTGATACAAATTTTAGTAAAATTAGTGGTAAGAAAAAAAATAAAAATAAAATAAAATGATAAATCTGAAATTCTAGACATTGCGGGAATACTGCTGTTGAATGTAACTCATTTCGTTTACCGACTTCTTTATCGCGTACAGCATAATATGTATTTAATTATTATAATGATGTATAAAATATTGTTTATTTATAATCAACTTATGTTGATGTTGTTCCGAATAAAATCGCGTTTTTTAAGTATACATAATACTACATGAAATATATATATATATATATATAATAATGGTTAGCGAATTCAAAAGGTGGCTTGTTTATCATATAACTATACCGATATAAAAGCTAAATTAAAAATTACAGACAAATATAAATCGTTTAGCTTTTAATTTGATACAAAATTTCCATTGATAATAATTAATAACTTGACTATTTTTTTTTATAACGCACGGGTCACATACACTATTATAATATAACCCCAACATATTGATATTATTTTTGTTAGCTCCGCCATTAAAATACCAGAAGATATTTTCTAGTCGCGGTATGGTAGAGTATCGTTTTATATAATATTTCTGTAGTCATTTCTAATTCAAACAACATGAACGATATAATAAAGCATAATAAGCCGTAAGCCTGAACACCTATTTTAAGTAGGAAATCCGCATAAGTACGATAGAATAGAATGACAAATTACAAACAGAAATACAATCATATTGTCCTTGATCAATTCTCTTTGCAAGAAAAATATTTTTATAGATGATACAAGTTACTAACTGTCTCTAACTTTTACTATTTTACAATAGTGTACTGTACGAGTATGTATATTATGACATTTAACAAACATAAACACGATCATGTTAAATTTAATTTAATATAAATGTTCTGTATTCTTAAATAAAAATATTTACAGTAAAATGTATATTGACCTTGCACTTTTGTAAAAACGTGACTTTCATGAGATTATAATATACTATATTATACTTTGGTAGGTACATTTGTTATATAACCATAACAAGTACGTAGTACATACGTGGTGAAGTGAAAACTAAACAATTGGTTGATATCATAATATAATGGGTTTGAATGAAATACAAAATATTGGAAAATAAAACTTTTTAAAGAGTTGTAATCTAAAAATAAATAAATAAACTTGAAGTCAACTAAATAATTTAAACCAGTCATTTTTATGACAAAAAAGTAATAAGCAAGAAATAAATGTTTAACTGAAATACATTTTATACTTTAATATAAGTTTTTATTGATATTGATTTGCTTATGTTTTTATTTATTATTATCAGAGTCAATTTACTAAATAATTTATTGTTTATAAATTTAAATTAAAATTTTTATAAATACTAAGGTACTAGTGTCGATTGAATCGTTGTTTATAATTTCATTAATTACGCTTAACGTAAGAAAAATATTTTTTAATTAATTGAAATTACAGCATAGATAATACTATCTGTGTAAAATTAATTCCATTGTAAATTTATATTTATATAATACTTATTTTTATCAATGATGATTAGGGTTTTTAATCATAACATTCATAACGCAAAATATACAATAGATATCAATAATATATAAATGACTTATTAATTATTGTTATATTTTTTAGATTCCTTTGAATTTTATTATGGAATTAAATCAAGTAACAAATGTTTCCGATCTGTTTATTAAATTTATACCAGACATAAATATGAATGATGCTCAAAAAATTTACACCACCATAGGTTTCCAAAGTAAGGTTACCTTATATGATCAAATCTAAAAAACATTTTATTTTAATACATTTTTTAATATTAATTAATAAAAAAATATGTTTATATTATCTTTTTGTGTTTTAGATCGTTATGCATATGATTCAGAAATAAGTAAGTTTACAGTCTGCGTGAATAATCGAAGAAGTAATGTAAAAAAAAAATAATACAAGTTAATATGTTTAGAAGCAACGTTGATACCTAAAGCAGCAAGCTGTTCTATTGGACTTCAAACGATCAGTCTTAAAGACACTGATGATCTTAGTTTATATTATTATCCAATGTGTACCCGAGTGAACCGATGTGGAGGTTGCTGCGGACATGATTTATTGGCATGTCGACCAACTGAAATCGAAACCCTCAACTTCGAAGTATGTGTATAATAGAGAATTTAAAATTTTTGTTTAGTCTGTTAAGTTATAGATTGTTTCATTTTTTTGGTCACTCGTGTTACATTTTTAGGTTATGGTTTTACAGTATAAAGGATCTCCTGGATCGGGCAAATTAGAGTTTAAAGGTCGTAAATCAGTGTCAGTAGACCAACATTTGAATTGCAAGTGCGATTGTATTATCGAAGAAGAAGTACGATTTATAATTTTCTTTCCATTTTTAGAATTATAAATTGTTTATTAATCATGAGCGTTATTTTTTACAGAACTGCACACCTTTACAAGTTTATAACCCCAACGAATGCAGTTGTATGTGTACAAATGAAAAAGATCGTCATGAGTGTCATGATGAACATGGATTAAAATTATGGAATTCAACAGCTTGCACATGTCAGTCATTGTAAATGAAGACTATAATTCATAAATTAACAGTGCAGTTATGCTTGCAGGTAAACTTGAATTTTTTAATTATCTGTTTAAAAGTTAATTTAAATTTAATAATATTTATATTTCAGGTTTAAAGATTATTTTCTACAAACACTCACAATTATATTTAGTATGAAATATGAATTTAACAAAACCACGTCATACTCAATATATAAGTGAAACGTGAACTAAAATAAGCTCATTGAAAAATGTAAACCACAATCATGTACATGTGATAGATATCTAATTTATCTTTTATAATTTTAAATGTAATTTGCCAAACTTACATGCATACTTTATCATTGTATTTGTAAGAATCAAAATGGTGCGAAATACGTTCGTTGTACAAATGTATATCAATATTATAGTTGTTACCAGCTTTTCTTAAGGAATAAAGTTGCAATAAACTCGGCGCATTTTAAAATCGTCTAATACTAACTATTGGTACTGTAGTATATGCAATAGTTTGTTAAGGGGTTATGTACAGATAATTTCATGACATGTGTACGTTACGTATTATGTGCTTCGATTTTTACGGCGTCGGTACTTAGGTTCGTATAGTAATTCTATTTAACTTGTACATCAGCATCTTAAAAAAAGTTAGATATTGCATTAAGACTTTAATCAAGGTATGGATTTACTAAAATCAGTAAATTTTTCATAAATACCAATATTATTAATATACTAGAATAAACTAAACATTTTATTTCGTGATTTCAGAATATCGCAATATTTATAATTTTTTAAACATCAATATTAACCATTTTTATTTATAATTTATAATTTTAGGTTTTAATTTGTATTAATAAATAATAACTCTCGAGTGATTTTTGAGTCAATTTTGCATAATAACAAATAGTATATGTTTATTTAAATGTATGTATATTATAACACAACAATCTATTAAATATATAAATAATCACAATATAAAAATACTATATTTCAAGAGATCATGGGCGTGCTAAAAAAAAGCTTTTATAAACATTTTGATTATAATCAAAATAGTAGTAGTATGAACATATAAGTTCACAGTATTTTTTCGTAGGGAGATTTTTCAAGTTAAAAAGGGAATGACCTGTTTAAAGCAATTTATTTGTTAGTGTAACCAAATTACAATATTTTTTCAAAAAGTATTGTATAATAATATGTTTAGATCACATTTTTATAAAGGTAATACAATCTTTGACCATCAATTTCACGATCATATAAAAAATTTTTTGACTACACATTGTGATATATGTTGACTACAAAAATATTTATCCTGTGTAAGCTATTGATTTTTAAACCAATTTCCCATTTAAGCTAAAAATAATATCTTCAAATAATAAAATAACATAAACTAATTAAATAAAAATTGTATTAATATTTAATAATACACGTATCACATTTATTATTATAAGTTAATTTTAAATTATTTACACAAGTTTTCTTACTTCTCTAGTAAAAGGTACATATATACCTAATTAGGTATGACACTTTTTTTTATATTATATTAATTAATATTAGAAACATAATAAAAAAGGCAAGTGTATATCAGGGGCGTAGCATTGTAATCACTGTTTAAACTTAAAAAAAAAGATGAAAATTAAAAATTAATAATGCAACTATACTTATAATTAAATCTTTGATAAATTTTTTTTTTTAACTTTTAACAACTATAAAAAATAAAATAAAATATAATGGTTGTCGACAGTCATATACATATTTTTAAATTGCTATTAAACAGTAATAATTTCGTTCGTGATTTTGCAAACACCACAGTGTCACACACGACTCACTCGGTGTATATTACGTCTAATTTTTGTATTATTCTTAAATCCGATAACCGCTATTTTACGATTTTTAGATTTGTACGTGTTTCTATATCAAAGTTTTATAATTTGATTGTCTTGTTTTTAAATGAATTTGCCTTCATGTTCTTTTGGTGTGAATTTAAATATTAATATTTGTTGTAAATATGTTATTGAACAGTTAATAATAAAATCGTTTGGGTTTTACATTTTTGCTGAAAAACAGAATATTTTAAATAATGGCTAATCAACTAAAAAACTTTTAAATTTGAAAAAGAATAAAGGATAAAAACGTATCTTAGAAACTCACAATCCCAAATATACTATCGGCATTATCATCTTTACCAAATAAAAAAATTGTTGGCTAGAATTCAAAAATAAAATTTTTTCTATGGTGACGTAATTAAGGACTTTACCAAAAACCAAGAAGAATTGATATACGTATATATATATTTTATTAAGAAAATTATAATTTATATTTAAACAATTGTTAAAAGCTTAAAAATAAAATAAAAGTTAGGTTAATAAAGTTATAAACATTTGCATATATATATATATATTTTTTTTTTACTATTTAAATGTAGTAGACTGTAGATATAGCAACACATTTTTTAAGATTCTAAATTTTTTTGCTTACATTTTATCGAAACTCACACTACGCCATTAATGTATTTAATGTATATAGCAGTTAAGTTTGAAAATCAGTTCAGAAATAATGAAAAAAGAAATAGTGTGACACATTTTTAATATCTAATTATTGATAAAAATCTTAACACTGCCGGTTTAAGTAAAGTACAGTTGCAGTACTTGATTTATAATTTTTGTTACTTGCGCCTTATATTAGTATTTTAAATAGTTTAAATTTAAATCAATACACAAAATTCAACTAGAAAAATGAAAATGAAACAAAATAAGAACACAAAAATAGTGAAAATCTCATATATTTTGAATTTTAAAGGCAACACGGCAATATGTAGGATAAGATGACGAATTATTATCGTAATGTCATGTTATAGTTTTGTGATTGTTTTCTCTTGAACTTTTTCTTCCTGGGTATTTTCCCCGCGATTCGACAACAACATCTTAACACAATATAATCGACTTTTAGGTATTTTCCTCGTATACCTATTTATAGTTACAAATTTGCGTTTTTTCATCGAACATTCATCATCCGTCATACGCCATAAATATTAGGCTTGTAAAAAAGGTGTAGTATGGCGAGGGTCACTGTTTGCAATTTTCTCGGTAAAAACAGTCGGTACCTACATTTTTTACCGGCTAAGCGAGGATTGCACGTTCTGCACAGTGTCGAGCACGCTCGTTATTATTATAAGGACGGTTTCATATTATTGTTTGTCGTAATAACACACACATTCACAGGTAGATAAAAAACAATCTACCTACGATAACTGCGCGTCAAAGAATGCTGTAAGCCGCGACGGCGGCGGTAACTGTAACGATATTATCTATTCTATGCCCACACAAAACGCAAGCGTATCATTATTATTGTCATTTTTTGCACCAGGCGCTAGATGAGTCACACTTGGCGGCGGCGAAGGCGGCGGATAACCTGTGATCGCGGAAAGGAGAGGAACGAACGCCTCGTTCGTTCGTCGTTCACACCTGCAATAGCGACCGTGTTGAAATGCGGTCGTGGTTGTGGTTGTAGTGTTGATGGTGGTGGCGGTGGTGGCGGTGATGGTGGTAGTGGTAGCGGTAGACCGTGGTCGTGGTCGTGGTCGTCGGTTCGCGGCCATCCGTCGTCGCCGTCGTCGTCATTCGCACGCCGTCACGGCGACAGAACGCCAGCGACATCGACCGCGCCCGCACACGCTCCGCTCGCGCAACGTAACAACAAAGTATTTAAGGAAAAAAAAAAAGTAATACGTTACCGTCATGTTCGCCTGCACTGCGCCCCTGTCCGCCGCCGCCGTCGTCTGTTGCACGCTGCTCGTCACCGTCGCCGCCAGACGCGGACAGAACGCGGCCCGTCCGACGACGACCGCGGATTGGCGCGAAGACGTCGTCCACACGCCCGGCGACGGGTTGCTTCCGAGCGACACTTCGGGCGGTAGTTCTTCGTGCTGCAACGGGCCATACACTACCGCCGCCGCCGCCGCCGCCTCCCCGTCGTCATACAGCAACGCCGTCGGTCCCCGTGAAGTAAATACATTCATTTTTTTACATAGTATAATATTTTAAGTATTAGTCGTCATGTCGTATTTTTCCGATGACCCAACGCCCCTTCCTGCGCGTACGTCCTTAGAGAACGCGTCTTCCATAAAGATTTCCAGTTTATATCGATCATATCCCTCGGCGCATAAGGCGTTGCACGCGCGTCCCACCTCTTTCCTGAATATTCGTATCGAGTGATACATAATGTAATGTTGTTCAATAGGTATAACTAATTAAGCAACATACGATTTTTGTAATAATAATGATAATATATTTTAACCATTAGCCTCCCACTCACCGAGACATTTTTAGTCGCACTATACTTTTGTGTCCTGCTGCAGTATATCATTTCTTGTTATATTTCGCACGTGCGTCGATGGATGTAACCGATGCGCATGTAATAATGCATTATTTATCACGCGGCGCATCGAGAGGAAATAGTATTCGAGTTGCCTCACTGTAAAAGGAATATCCGACGTAACTATCATACGTGTGTAGTAGTACGTAGTAGTGTAGTAAAATGTGTTGCTACCTATAATTAATATACTCGTCAGACCTTGTAGCATATACTTGCAAACCGACTCTGTACAATGGGTAGGAGAATTGGTTTATCGCGTTCGCCACAATCGTCAACTCTCTCCGTTGAGTTATATTCAATAACATTCTAAGAAAAAAATTTGTGGTTAAATTAACTACATTATATTCCCGCAATTCAATTTTAAAAATGTAAACTTTGAAACGGACATCATTTTTTGGATTTACCATAGTAATCATGCGCCTATATGACTAGTTTATCTATAGGTAACTATAATAATTTTATAACAGACATCGTAAGCGAGTCTATATAGTCGTTTGAATAATATCTGACATCTATGTATACTACTCCAAAATAGAATACCGGAAAACAAATAGATTTATATACAAGATATATTTAACGACATAAGTTTTTTGTTTCACAATACATTTGATACACAAATAAATACAACCACCTGTTGACAATTTCTATGTAAAAGCTGTAATTTATATTATTCACAGATGTCATTTCCATTTCTAAGATTTAAAATTTGTAAACCGATAAGCTATGAATATTATGTTATTGGTTACCATAAAATACAAATTTAAAATACATTTTCATTAGAAAATAATATCAATTATCACATTAAAATTGACTTGTTTGGTTATTTTAAATTTTTAGAACAATTAAAATTATGAATTTTCCAATTTACGTATTCATTTTAAAAATAATAAATATTGCGTAGTATCAAATATACTTTAAAATATTTAGGTAACTATTCATTTACAACTCTCAACAATATTTCTTCTTTTATAAACAAAATCGCTTTATTTAACAAATTATTATTTATTTATTTTATAATTTATACTTTTTGAAATAATATTAATTTTTGAAAACAAAAACATTAAGTTATTCATTGTACATATAATTTATCCTGGTGTTTATAGTGTTTATACTTAAAACATAATTAATAATAATAGTATAAATCTTGTATCAATTATAATTTATAAAATAATAATATTTCTGTAACTAATATTTTGTTCTAACGCCAAGATAAAAAATAATAAACCGGTTAAAGTCAATATGCTAATAGTAGATTTATGTACTGTATTTTTTGTCGTCATTGTGTAGATTACTGTAATAGATTTATTAAATGCTTATATTTGAATCCAATAAGAAAATATTGTATATGTAAAACTATTCCAATGGGAAACGGTGTAACAGACTCAATTTCTACGAATATTTTATAATAAAATTGTATTAGATTATTAATAGTTATTTATTTTTCTTCTAGTAATGAGAACAATGGGGTATATTAAACTACATTTTATAAAAAACTATCATATATTTAATGTAATTAATTATTATAATAACGTATTATGTATCATTTTTATTAACTTATTAGTCAATATAGTATACTGTATAGATCATTGTGAATAATTCCAAAGTATAATTGTTTAAATAGAATAATTAATAAAGTTTTTAATAAACACAGTTTTTTTAAAAATTATTTTGAAATTCTGTTAAAAATGCGTACCAGAAACTTAATATTAAATTTCCAAAAATTAACAATTAAAATTGTAAATGTTATGAATTTATAACTAATAAATAATTTAAGGAATATGTTTGTAATTTTTATGAATAGTGCCTATGTATGAAATTCAAATGCTTATATAAAATCAACTATTGTTGAATCTTGTATTAAATTTCCAAAGTTTTTTGATTAAAAAAAAATATTATCATCAAAAATTAGCCAAAATATTTTATAAATTAAATCATGTCTAAAAAATGCTAATAAAAATATCATTTATTCAATATTTAAAATATCTAGGGTTATTAATTGTTGATTATTTGTAACAAAATAATAAAATACATTTTGTTGAAAACTAGTATTATGATATACAATAAATTATATTACCGTTTTTCCGTTATTTTTTTTTTTTCAAAATATTTTAAAACAAAATATCAAACTTGGTTATAACTTGAAATAATGAACTAAAAACGCATATTTTGTAGTTATTCTATAAAAAAACACATTATTCGTTTTGTTCAAATTCTAAAATATTTTACAAATATTATGTTTTCTTTTTTTAACTATAGAGGTAAAGCAGGTAATTGTTGTTATTTTTTATTTACTAAATTAAAATTTTAAATATAGGCGCCTTTCTAGTCGGTTTCAATAATTATTAATTATTATAACGTATTACAATACAATTTTAAACTTAAATTTTACTTATCCTTATTCATCAATTATGCTTATTATAAAGAAAATATGTTTACAGATTCTACACATTTTTAATGAATATTTAAAAAAAATTAGGTTTAAAAGAAACTTTTTGTATAAAATATTTATTATTTGTCTAAAAATAAAACAATAAGTTTAGTCACGGAAGTTTTGGTATACAAATTGTTATTTAAATGTAATTACCATTTTAGGATGTATTGTTCTTACAAAAATACGTATTCCGTTTGTATAACCAATAACTATTCGAGTAGGTACTATGCATAAGTGTATATTAATTACAGATTTGTAAATTATTTTATTTTCCTTAAGAAATAATATAATATACAGATGACGGTGATAAGTTATATAACATTTTTATAAAGTTATGCTCACATATAAAGCGATACCTACCTAAAAGATATTATATAATAATTTAGTTAATTAATTAGTTAAAAATATTTTATCATTATCAATATTTAAAAATTACCATGATATAATATGTGTATAAGTAAACAAATATATTCTCTTTGAACGTGTTAGATTTTAAGATTTTAAAACGTGATTATTGTATCAAAATAATTGTAAAATTTGTTTCAATTATATTTCTGTCACGTATTCAGCGCCGGTCGGCAGCCTATATTACGATCTATTAAATAATATTCAAGTTTTAGGTCTTAAAAATAATTGTATTTTAAGGACAATGCGGAATCAATGTTTTTGATTAAACACCAGAGAAGGAAGTTAAAACTATAGTTAACAATACGGGAAATCTTTTAATATTCAAATTATTCATTGTACGTAACTACGTAAGTAAGAAGTTATTGATATAAAATATTATGGCCATTAGAAAATCCATTTGAATCAGTATTTATTTAATACTGTTTACTAAAACGTAAAATGTAGATTTTACGTATAATATTCTATGAGTCGTCCAACATTAATTAATTAGTATTTTTTTTTTTTGTGTTATGTTTAACCAAATATCATGACCAACTAAAATGTACTTAGTTAAATATTCACTAATAAGGAAAAACTTAATTTTATGGATTAACCAGTTCTCAACTTAACAACTATATTCTACTTTATTTATTGATATAATACATACTTTTCTTATGGCACGACATGCAGTATGTAATATTGAAAATTTGATACTAATCACTCAGGGTTTCAGTGATTACCAACTTGTCATTTAATATAACTTCATTGAAGATTAACTAATATATATTAAAAGCTACTAGTGAAAGCATGACTAACGAGAACATTATTGTAACGTTTTTATGGGCGATGGTATTTTCCTTATCAAATACCGACATTTCTATATCATGACTCAAACAACTTACAAGAATTTATTGGCGACATCTTACCTATCTCAAAAGACCTCAGGGACTTCGTCTAAGTATCAATTATTAGGTAATGTCAGTAGACGTAAAATAAATACTTTATACTTATATTTAAGTAGATAACCTGTCTTTAATAAATTATTTACAATGTAAAAACAACGTGACCAAATAGGTAAACTATATCATATTTACGGTTTAAATTTATTTTAAAATTATTTTGTTGACAATAAGATTAAAAAAACTTGATTGAAAGGAAACATTTAGAATAACTTAATACTAGACGTTTATATAACCAAATAAATACTATTTTTTTACATACAAACATATAACATTGAAATAGTCTTTAACCTGAGAAAAAGAATTGTAATTTTTAATTCTATATTTTAGAACAATGTACAAGCTAATCTAGATCACTGACTTACTTTTTCAACTCTCGTTTACTCCAAACATTAGACCTTCAATGATCGAAATCACCAACTATAATATCTACTTGCCTTTAAACATGTCCATTAAAAAATAAACTGTTTGAATACTAAATGCTATTAAAATCAATATGAGTATTTGGTATATGGCATATTATTCTGGGCTTTAGTAAATCCCACTAACATTAATAGAATACAAATTTATCAATTCAAAACTCTAAAACAACTTACTAAAACCCCATATGGCGTTTTTAATCACAACCTCTCCATACCTTTTGTTGTTGGTAAAGCAAAAATACATCACAAAATAAATCATATATGTATTAAAATATAAATAATGTGCACAATAATTAATAATTAAGATTAATAATTTTATATAAATATTGTGAATATTTAGCTGGCTATCACCTTTGTCATAAATTGAAAGGAGGTAATTAATAGATATTTATTTTACGAAGAAAATTCACGCAAAAGTTTAAAAAATTAATGAAAATTAAAAACTCATATATAAAATAACTAATATAACCCATGTGGCCATGCTGTGTTTTATTTCCGGAAGAACAATTTTTGAGGTCATATTAAATTAATTAGATGGTATCCAATCTATCAATGAATAGATTTTTAACAATAAATAATAGTATACTACTTATATCATTGAATTATAAAATATGCAAGTTAGATAATCGGCTATTGTAAGAATTTAGTATGGTTATTTTGAATTTAAAAATATGTTTATTGTACTGATAATAAAAGTTTTGTTAGTAGGTAATGTACTTAAATTTCAATGTGACTCATGTGCTGTAGTTACATTCGTCACAGACATACATAGATGCCTAAACAGTTATACATAGTAATGCATAATCATACATTATAGTATTTTAATGTTTAACATACTTGACCTTGGTTAAATAAAGGAATACAAAAAAATAGTGATGTTTTGCTGGTTAATGAGGTAATTCATAATTTTTTTTAAATAATTAATCTTCGTTGATATTGTTGATTTATTTTTTTAATAAAGAACTTCATAATTTTTAGACACATAGCTATATTCAATAATTAATAGGCATTGCATTTATTATACACAAAAATAATTTATAGAAGAAACAATAATATTTCAAACTAATAAAATATATTTTAAAAAGTCAAACTATTTTTAAAATTAAAATCAATATTAATAAAAATAAAATATAAATTATGATGATTATATTAAATATTATTATAAAAAGTGATTCGAATAAAATATAAACTTATTCTGTTTATTTTATACCATTTCTAAGTTGCCATGTTCGATATTACTTAATAATTAATATCCACTTAACTATGAAAAGTAAAATTTTAGCTATATATTTTGTGTTTCAGATCCCTTTGAATGTTATATTTGAATTGAATCAGGTGACAAATGTATCAGAACTGTTTTCTAAATTTATGCCAGATGTAAATTTAGATGAAGTCCAAACACTATACGCTACAACAGGTTTTCAAAGTAAGTCAATGAACTAATTAAATGTATTTCCATAAAACATAACCAATACACTTCATTTTCAAAGAACTGACGAAATATAACATGTATTGTATTCTAAATTTATTTTGGTATTAACGATACCTTTCAATAAATAATAGCTTTGTATTTAAGAATTTGACAATACACAATATACAACAAATCACAATTTCCTAAGATAATTAAATTAAAAACCACATTTTTAAGAATAAATGTCTTTGATCTACATTTATCATACCATTAAAAAACAATTAAACTAAGGTAAAAATATTTGTTGTAAGAATTTTGAATAAATGGATAAATACTAAATAGTGCATTGTATTGATAAAAAAGTATTTTAAATATTAATTGTGTTCAGTATGATATCCAAGTATGAGTCAGTTATAGAGTAAGATGATTACAAAAATGAAAAATTTTAATGTGTAATTTAATCTTTTTTTCTCTAAACTATTCTGAGCTTATGTTGCTACTTATATCTTTGGGTGAATTTACAGTTTTTATTTAAATAAGGGAACATGTCAGAATAACGGCTCCTCGGTAGTATATTCAATCAATGACATAGTATTTCATTAAATCTGATGTGTAGTTAAAATTTAAATTTTCACATTATTTGATAATTTATTATTGATTGTTTTTTTTATCGAAATCTAATACCACATAATTTAAAACGGCTAATAATATTTTTAAAATTTTTTTATAATTATTAATATACATAATATTTTAACAATCCAGAAATAATGTCAAGGATAAATAATTCAATTTTCTTGTTCAATAACTGTTTGAGCAGTGATGGTTAATTTCAATTAGATATAATAATCTCAGTACAAAGATATTATATAACATATTACGTACAATTCTATACATTATGTCCTATCAATATACATAATGTATTTATATGTGGCCGGTATTACACCACTATATGAGTAATGTAGGTAATTTGTTTCAAAAAGGATCAAATTTTTGTAAATATTTATTTAATATAGTTTAAATTGATTTAAAAAAAAATTTATAAAAAAATAATAAAAGTAATGTTGAATATTTATTTACTCGTAGGTATACTTATATAACTTTTAAGTTATTTAAACATTGTTTTAATTAAAAATTACATTATATAATAATTTTCTGAAAAATTTTGGACATAAAAATCGTACTTTGACTGAATAGTCGATTACATATAAATTTGTTGGTATTTGAAGCTTAATGTATGTTAATTTGCATTCAACAACATTTTGCGGGGTATCAATATACCCCGAGTCTTTTATTTAACCGAAAATTTTCCTTTCGATACAAAAAAAAGAAAAAGAAAAAGAATCAACTAAGCTAAACAAATATTTTTATATTTTAAAAATTTTTAAATAGTACAGGAGACATCTGTACCAAACTCTGTTTTAGATATTTTAATAAAGACAGCGCCAATTGGCAATGCTTTCCAAACAATAACATTAATTAATATGTTTAGGTTCCAAAAAAATTGTTAAAATTATAAATTAGTTTGCTTGTAAAAATCGGATACAAAAATTAATAGAATTTAAATTTAAATATGGCTAGTATGAAGCTCGGTGAGAGATTTTTTTACAATCGTGTGCATTTAAATAAAATTTATTACAATTAATAAAAGATCGGGTAATTTATTAATTATTTCCGAAGGGAATAATATAGTTTTATTTTAAGTAGATTGAACAGACTGCGTAAGAAAAATTGACAATAAAAATTTGCAATTTTATATCTATTGGTCTTATTACTTGGTAGTTTTTATTTATATGTTTTTAATTTGATCTAATATTAATAACAGCTAATATAATTTATGTAGAATAATACAGAAATATCATATAATACATTAATTTACAATAATTTATTGCAATGCATTTTTATTATTTTTATTTTAACTAAAAATCATATGATGTCTTGGATAACATTAATTATTAAAGAATTAAAATTTTATAAACCAATTATTATTTTTAATAAAATTTATATGTTATTGTTTATTCTGTTTCAGGCCGAACTGCACCAAATATAGAAAGGAGTATGTATTCTAGTTGCATAATTAATTTAAATAATACTTATGGAAATTCAATCAATAAAAAATATTATAAATAATCTGTTTACTTAGAATCAACGTTGGTACCTAAGCCAGCCGGCTGTTCTGTTGAACTTCAAACGATCAGTCTTAAAGATACTGACGATCAAAGTTTATATTATTATCCAACGTGCACTCGGGTAAATCGTTGTGGAGGTTGTTGCGCTCACGACTTATTGGCATGTCAACCGACCAAAGTCGATACCCTCAACTTTGAAGTATGCAAAACTAAAGCTGTAATTTTTATAAATTGGATGTGTATGTTATTTATTTTTTGTCATATGATATTTCACAGGTAATGGTCTCACAGTATAATGATGTGGGGAAATTAGAATTCAAAGGTCGAAAAACGGTGTCGATAGATCAACATTTGAAATGCAAGTGTGGATGCATTGTTAAACAAGAAGTGCGATTAGTGACATTCCATATTTTTTAAACGATTAACTATCATAGCATATAATATGGATTGTTTTCTTTTGTTTACAGGATTGTACCCCTTTACAAACGTATTACCCCAACGAATGTCGTTGTATGTGTAGTAACGAAGAGGACCGCGATAAATGTAACGAAGAATACAATTTAAAGCTATGGAATTCAGCGACTTGCACGTGCCAATGCCGCGAAATAAAAGAATGTACTTCAGGATTTGGATTTGACTATAATACATGCGGGTAATTTCACACTGCTCTATTGGTTACATTAATGTGTAACGGGTAAATTAAAATCCTATTATAATATATAATATTTCAGGTGTGAAGCTTTAAGACAAAGAATAAAAAACCCTGGTTATGAATTTAACAAGAACACATATTCATTGGGAGGAACGTGACCTAATTTAAATTTTGATGTAAATAATACATTTACTGAAAATTAAAAACAATTTATGATGTACAGTATAGAGCTTTATTTTTTTCTATTTATTATGTTAATGTATTTTTAACTTAGCTCTATTTATGTGTATGTTATATAATTTTGTATTTATACAAAGTCAAAACTGTATTTATTTATTTTTTTTATTATATTTGTTTTTATACATTGTATTTTTAACTTACTATTCCTAAAACTACATTATTGTTCAAACGTTAGTTGAATTTTTTTTCAAATACTACACTAAAATGTATTTACTTTTATATATTTTTTTTACAGGAAGTGTGTTAGATTTTAACACGAAAAATCTATTATTGAAAAAATGAATATTGTAAGGGAAATGTTGTTATATTAGAATGTAACTAGTTTTAAGAAAAACATCTATATTCTTAAAACAGCTTCGATGTATCTAGTTAGACCATTTTATTTGTCCTAAAAATATCAATTAAAAAATGTTCACAGAATAAAATGCTTGAAAAATAAAAAATGGTTCCTTATAATAAGTTTTTATTATAAATATTTTCAAATATTAATGATTTGATTTTTAAGCACTTGAAGTTTAAACTTTGTTCGAATTCATCAGTCACATATATTTGCAAATAATTTTATATAATTAAAAATGTTAACAAAAAATAAATTTTTATAGATAAGGATTGAAAATGTAGTATAAGATTTTTCATCATTTATTATATATTGTTATTTATTATATGCAATCAATAAATCAAAAAATATATTATTATAGATATCTAATTATTTTTTTTAAATTTAGTTTAAGTTCAATTTTAAACAAATAAATAAAAGGGTGTTAAAACATCCTTCTGAAATATCAGGAATAAAAAGTAAATTAACTAACCTACCTAAATACAATATGAATAAAATGTTATTTATGAACATTTTTTTAAAAATCTTCTCTTCAAAATTTTTTCCTGTGTACGTCCCTGTCCTAAGGTTATATATTATAAAATATAAGCTATATATAGACAGTCAAAAAATTGTGATTCTCAAAATGTTTAATATTTATTGTAATATTCAAAAAATACACAGGTACATCTATTTTTGATCGTTATTTAAGTTCAACACTTATTGTTCTATGATTAAAACTAACTCAATGATTGTCATTTAAAATGTATACTGTAATACTCATAAATGGATTTTATTTAAATTAAAATTTTTTTTTTATTTGTGAACAACATTAAATAAAGTAATAGATAAAATACTAAAACAATAAAATCATATATCATTTAATTAATATATTTATATTGTAAAAATGATTGAATAAAAACTATAAAAACTATAATTTAAACTACAGCTATTTTTCGATACGCAACAATTATCATAACAACATTTCAATTGAGTAGCATAAACTTTCAACTCAGTATGGATAATGTTCACCGCTCGATATTTTGTCAAAATTCATCTTGTGATTCGAATCCTTGTTTTTTTGAAAATTATGCGTTACCTAGATATTTATTTTGGTCGTATTTTATTATTCAATACAAAAAAAAAAAAATACCTTGACCTTTATAAATATAAAAATCATATTAATATGTTCAAAAAATAAAGTATAACTTTTTTTCTTTTATACAATTTTAATAAAATAGTTGTTGTATATTCTTTATAACTGAAATAACTCTACTAAGAAATGATGTTGACCAACAGAGTGATAAATTTTATGGTTCTTCATTAAATACTATTGTACGATTATTAACCTTGAAATTTTAGTGCAAGTTAAATGCTTTATTGAGAGAAAAATTGTCTGTTATTAATTTTGTTCTTTCACATTACTAAATAGATTTAGTAAAATGTTATACCAATCAATACTATTTATTTGATGTATGTTGTACCGAATAAGTATACCTATACATTTAATTATAACAGTATAAGTATTATTCCTAAGGCAGGAATCTTACTCCTGATTGAATATTATCGGTAATAAATAATGTAAACAACTTTCTAACAACAGATTATTCTTAACAGTGAATTTATTAGTTAATCCTCTTATGTTAACATACATTTTTAGTTACTAGCAAAGTTTATTTATATTTATAAAACATTTAGAAATATAGCAAATGATTCATTTTTTTAAATTTATTTTATGCTTTCATTTCATACTCAATTATTTTGAATAATATGATAATTTTATTAATTAATCTATAATTTTAGATTGTCGTAGTAAGTTTATATAATGTATTTAAATAATTTGTGGACTATAGCATTTTTTTTTTTTTTTTTTTTTTTTAATATACAATACTATTTTATAAAAATTTACAATCTATACAACAATGAATGGTACAATAAGTAAATGTGAATGAATGGATACAGAATAAGGTGTTCAGAAAAAGATAATGAATATGAGTTTCATAAATTAAAAAAAAAAATATGATTAAAATAGTCTATTTAGTTTTTTTTTATTTCATAAATAAAGCTCTTGGCTAAAATAAAAAAATTATAAATCAATAATATAAACAATATAAATAAATTTGAAATAACAAACAACTCTTTAGGATAGTCCTTACGTATACGAGATTTAGCGGTTTAAAATATTTCATTTGGCTTTTCTAGAATTATAAAAACTATTTGTTTATTAATTATTCTAAAGCTTATTTATTTTGAATCTTAGCTAAACTCTAATTTATTGTTGTTGTTAAAAAGTTTTTTTTTTTTACATTTGTTCATTATTAATAGTCATAATGCCATTACCCCCAAAAACTTTTAAGTTTGAAGGAACGGTATATAAATGGTGCATGCGTAGTCAAGATATTAACGGATCTATGATATTGTGCTATAATCCAGTGAAAAAGGTGTGTATTATCTAATTATTCTATCATTGAATTATTCGATTTTAATACATTATATCAATATATTTATCGAATAATACTATATTACAATTGTGTACCTAATTTACTGCTGCCTAAATAAACATATTTTAAAGCTCTTCACTTATCGGTTTTTCAAATAGCAATTTTTCACTTCTAACAAAAGATCTCACAACAATTGTGTAATAGATATATAATATGATATAGCTTAAAATCTATTAAGTATCCAGAATGTTGAATATCGTAAATATTCTTAAATTTCAGCAGCACCCCTTACATAAAAATAATCAAAACAAATAGTAAAATGAATGTTCATTTTGAACCATACATGAAAAGCCGAACACACACTAAATCAATATATTAGTAATGTAGAGAAAATAAAACAACAATACTATTAAATTAATATTTATGCTATTGATCTTCCAAAGTTTTCAATTATTTCATCATAGTTTAATAAAATTGTCAATTATTCAAACTGCTAAGATTTTAGTTGATTTCGTTGATGATCTAAAGTATGCGAT